GAATCTCAATCATTATCATCTGATACTGTAATAATGCTTTCACATCTTTTTTTTTAACTTGAAAAAAATTTATTAATATTTGTTTTGACAATATTCCGTCTGTGTTTACATGATGTCAATAAGGTCTTTTCAACCAAAACTAAACCAGTTTCATAGCATCCTGAGAACAACATACTTAGATAATTAGTTGAATTTTTTCACATTTAAACAGGCTTTTTTGGTTTCAGGTAAACACAACCTATAACTCATAATTCTTCAATTGGGAGTTTAATATTTCTAAGAGCCATTTTTGGTTCATTTTCTCAAGATTATTTGATTATCATTATAATTCTTATTTATCTGTTCTTCAAAAAAAGCATATACTATCTCTACCAGGGGGATTTTATCAGCGGTCTCAAAAATCTTTGCCAATATGCAAATAAATTATCTACATTCTTAAAGAATCTCACGGCAATTAACTTCTGGGTGTGTGTGTGTGCTTGCATGTATAAAACAAATCACCATTTTCCACTCAAGTCTGTCATTGCACTAATATTTTTCCTTACATCTCTGTTGAGTAACCAGGAAATTGATTCCTTTTTGGAAGCATTAACTCTGTAGGCCCCAACAGGCATTGGCACTCTGGAAGAATATAATGGTTTCCTAAACAGAATTCCTATTTTCCTCACATTTTTTATAAATTATACTAATTTCTTCCATTTTCAGGAGAGGATTATTTGCCAAGGAGTAAGATCTTTCGTTATTCAAACAGTTACATTCAATTGCCAAGTGAAGTACTATTATGTGCAAGGCAATGTGCTAGGTTATGCAGGGGAATGAAGAAGTTAGATATTTCTCCTGCCCTCAGGAAAATTCTAATTTAGCACATAGGAGGGAAAAGAGAGGCTCAAAATACTTTTTTGATTCAGCAGATTTCAAGCAATCAGAAAAAAAATCAGGAATTCTACTCATATAGGGTGTAACTTAAAGGGATTAATTTCCTGCATTTCAACAGTTCTATTGAGTGCATATCGAGTTACTTGTTCTGTTAACATGAGACAACTTCTTAGGATACTCAAATAATACTGAAATGCATTTGGAGTATTTTACTGATTTTGATTGGTTGATTGATAGAGAAGCAGAGATAACTAGTAAACAACAAAATAACTCATGAGTCACTATATAATAAACATCTAAATTTATGAGCTTCTACATCAATGAGGTATAATATGATGAGAGAATGGCAAAATTACTATGGGAAGAAGTGGGCCCTAATTTAATCTAGGGGACAGGAAAGGCCTTCTCAAGGAATAACACTTAATTGGAGATCTGAGGCCTGAGTAGGAGCTAACCATATAGAGTGGGGTGTGTGAATGTGAGAATTGGGGAAGAGATTATACAGTTTTTGTACAATGTTTCAGAGGGGGAGGGGCAGAGAGAGAGAGAGAGAATAGCTCACAGTGGGAACTCATAATAAGTGAGTGTGATCAGAGGCTAGATGATGGTTCAAGCTGAAGCAGAAGATGTAGGATGGGAATGTTTCAGTTCACCTGGAAGTGTAGACGCCACGTCATTGAAAGCACCACTGATTTAGAAAACAACACGGATTTACTGATTCATAAAACTCAGAACCTAGGTGCTTGAAGCTTTAAATGAAAGCAAAATATCAAGAATAAATTGTTGAAATGTCTAAATGGATTAGGAGTCAGGAAATAGTCTTTGCCTCATTTTCATCACCCCGGGACCTAATTTCCTATAAATAGGAAGAACTTGAAGAGCTGAGCTGTTCTTAACAAAGAAACCATATCTGAATCACTGGAGAGTTTTGAAAAACATACGTTACCAGGATTCTACACATCTAAATTTTATCTAATTCAGGAAAAAGAAATCAAGGCATGAACATTTGGATTTTTTTAAAGCTCTACAGTTATTGTGATGTATAACTACATTGACAACCACTCAACTCTGAGATTTTAATTGTCTGGACTTGATTAAAAATTCAAGACTCAAGATATCCACAGTGATGGCATAGGATTAAGTTAGATTTAATTCGAGCTCTTTCATGCTCATGCCTATAGCTCTAACGTTTTGTAGAAAAACAATGTTTATAAACATAAGCACCAACACTGTGAGATCTTAAGAAACCAACCAAATATTAAAGGTTCTCTATTATACTTTATAAGACAGTAAAAGAAAAGCATACATTTCTCAAAGACTTAACTCTCAGTTACAGTCAAAAAGGAATTTTACACTAACCTTAATTAACCAGAGAACAGATTATCCAAACCCTTATGTTCTGAGTGTGTTAGTTACCTGATGTTTTTCTCTATTAGAATGTCTTTACACTGAGGCAGCTGACATTATTTTATCTTAGATTGCTTTCCTACCTCTTCTGCTTTGCATTTCTCTTCTATAGCCCCATATTCACCTCCATATATTTGGCCAGCTAATTGGAAGCTTAATTGCCTACATAATATGATAAGCAAGAAATTAGATATAGAAAACCTTTGAGTATGTGGAAAGTATGTACATATGTGTGTATATACATACATACACAAGTTATATACATACGAACATTTTTTAATACAGTCTAACTCCACTTTTCATTTAATCATTGGTCATGGGCAGCCCTTAGGCAAATATGCAGAAATACTCTTAATAGTTGCAGAAAATTCTATAATATACCACTAATTATATAATTATTTTCATATTAATGGAAGTGCTTGTTTCAGATATTTGCCAATATAAGTAATGGTGCAACAATCATTTCTGTTTGTATGTACTTATATCTCAGCGTTTTAAAATATAGAATAGATTTTAAAATATAGTAATGCATGGTGAAGAACAGGTGTATCTTTTAAATTACAGCTATTCTACTTTCCTTTCTCTAAGGTGCTTGCTCCCATCAGGAATGCATGAAAGTGCTTGTATGCCCACAGTAATGGTCTTAATTTTTCATTTAAAATTTGTTTAAACTGATGAGAAAGATGGTATTTAGCTGGATTTACTTTCATTTCCATGAGTATTAATAAGGCTGAGCAAATTTTAAAGTGTTTATTGTTGATTTACATTCACCCTTTTTTGACTTGTTTGTTCACACCTTTTGCTAATGTTTCTACTGAAAAATTTCTTTTAAATAAGTAGAAGAATTTATATATAAGGAAGAAATTTGCCATTTTATTTTTTACTTGAAAATCCTTTTCCAAGTCTATACTTTTACTTTTGATAGTGTCCAGTACATCCTTTGACATCCAAAATATCAAATTGTTTTGTCAAATATGATTTTCTTTTACCTCATGGATCTAGGTGTCCTTTCTTACTTAAAAAGCTTTACATGAGCCCCAATTTTTTTTTAAATTGTTCTTTTAATTTGTGTAATTTTTCAAAATTCTTTCCCTCCAATTAAAGATTTTATTTTGTCTGGAAAAAAAATAGTTTATACGATATAGAGGTCTCACATTGTTTTCTATCACTGATAACTGACCATATTTGTACTAATTGATGTAGCACCTTGAGAAGAAACAGGCTTTGGAGGCGGGCCACATGGTTGTGATCTTTTATAATTCATTTAACTGGTCTGAGCCTATGTTCACTATTTTAAAACTGAAACTATAATGCCACCTACCTCTTGGGTGGTTTCAAGGAATAAATAAAATTATTGTCTATAAATTACTAACACACTATAAATAATAAATGCAAATTATTATTAAATACACCATATTTTTCACAATTAGTTACACAAGTAGCCTCTGTACAAAGACATATTTGTCATATTTCAAGTTTTAATCTAAATTTATATATTTTCTGAAGGCTTTTTTTCCTGCTTAACAATAATTGATCTTCTCCCAGGTGAATGTCATTCCATTTTTTAACAATATTTTTAAAATTCTGTTATCTGTAAGTTGTGTACCTATGTGATCTTCATGTTCAAAACTTTAATGGATATCTTAATTTATTTTTTATAACAACAGCAAGAATAAAGAAAACAAAAACAAGCGAACAGGGGCCGGCTTGGTGGCATAGCAGTTAAGTACGTGTGCTCCACTCCCACGGCCTGGGGTTCGCAGGTTTGGATCCCAGGTGCAGACTGATGCATTGCTTATCAAGCCATGCTGTGGCAGCATTGCATGTAAAGTAGAGGAAGGTGGGCATGGGTGTTAGCCCAGGACCAATCTTCCTCAGCAAAAAGAGGACGATTGGCAATGGATGCTAGCTCAGGACTAATCTTCACACACACAAAAAAAATAGCAAACAGAAAATCATCTTTAAGCCAAATTTAATAAATGGCCTTCACTTTTTCACCTTAAAATAAATTGAAATAATATTCTATTACTGTTTACACACCTATCCACATCTGTGGTGACTTTTTTATCTTGCAAGCTTCCATATTTTTTCTTATTTAAGCAGATTTCCAGATGTCTAGCTACTTCATCGGCTTTTTTTCAAATTATTAATATTGCTTTAATTTTATACTTTTGTTTTATGTATTATTAATTTAATCATGCATTGAGTTTCTTTTTACTTAAGTATTCTCTATTTTTGTTAATTTTTAATTTCTTAAATTGAATATTCAACTCATTGACTTTTAGTTTATTTTTTTTAAGATTAAAATATATAGATCTATACATTTTTCCTTTCATTGAAAACTGGTTCTGATGCGTTCTTTTTTTTGTTTGTTTTTTTGGATGAGGGAGATTCGCCCTGAGCTAACGTCTGTGCCAACCTTTCTCTATTTTGTATGTGGGTCGTTGCCACAGCATGGCTGCTGACAAGTGGTGTAGATCAGCACCCAGGAAACGAACCCAGGGCCGCCCAAGTGGAACAAGCCAAACTTAATCAATAAGCCATGGGGCTGACCCCGGTTTTGATGCATTCTTAAAGTATCGATACAAAATTTATTTTTCTTTTTACTTAACTTCTAGGTAATTTACAATCCACTTTTGATCTCTGGCTTTTTTGGAAGAAGAACATTTCTTTTTAATATTTGTCATGTTTTTAATTGAATATTTCCTTATTTTTAGATATGATCAAAGAATGTGGACTGTAATATAACTAATTTTATTAACTATTAAATTTTCTTTGTGGAGGTGCACAAACACACACATAATACACAGACACATATATATGAAATATTTCATGGATAAAAGAGGTAAAATATATTATTTGTTGCCAGGATAGACAACTTTACATTGAAAATATTATATTTTCCTTTTCTGGATATTTGGTAGATTCAGATTAATATGAAAACCATCCTGCTGCAAACATCTAAAAATAATGGATAAAATATAACAAATAACCGTTAAATACATTGCTGAGCTTGCCGGAAGAAATCCATAAGTGCTGTAATTAGAAACAAAGAATAGGGCTGGCCCTGTGACTTAGCGGTTAAGTGCTCACGCTCCGCTACTGGCGGCCCGGCTTCGGATCCCAGACGCGCACAGATGCACCGCTTCTCCGGCCATGCTGAGGCTGCGTCCCACATACAGCAACTAGAAGGATGTGCAACTATAACATACAACTATCTACTGGGACTTTGGGGAAAAAATAAATAAATAAAAAAATTAAAAAAAAAAAAAGAAACAAAGAATAAACCGAACTCTGGGGTAGCTGATACATGAATTCACTCTGGAGCTGCTCTGGGTGGTGGAGGGGGAATCAGTCCTGGGAAGTAGGGACATTGAGATGGGATCAGTGGCCTTGGGACGCTATTAGGTCTGAAAGTAAAAGCGTGGACTAAAAGCAAATCTGCACCGTCGAAAAGAAAGTCAGAGACTATGTCATTTCTTCCAGATCTTAAAGCAGAAGAATGAAAATCTCCTGTGAGAATTCAAAAATTAGGGTCTGAATTCTGCGTGCATATAGAGATTGAATTACACTGGCTGAATGGTAGAGTTATTCACATTCTAAGATTATAACTTTTTAAATGGCTTCTGAGATGGTAAAACTCGAAGGGCTCTGACAGAGCTAATATCATGCTATTCTGGATGACCACATCTCTCGCTGGAGTCACGAGGGAATTAAGTAAGAAGCCACTCAAAAGTTGTGCTCATAATTTAAAAATTCCAAATCCCATCACCAAGAAGCAATCAACCTGGAACAAGAGAAAGCAGTCACAATTAGAAGGCTCAGAACCCTCAAACCTAAACTGATCCTTGAACAAATGAAAAAGAATATTAAATGAGTATATCTAAATTCATTAAATAAGACATCTAAACTGCAAAACGGGAACAAGGTACTGTGAATACTGTAAAATGCTAATAAAACCTTCTGTAAAATAACTATATATATATAGTAACTATATATATATACAGACAGACATATATATGTATATATTGATTATATATTGATAATATATACACAACATGTGTATATATGTGAATATACATAGATACATGTTATCAGTGAGTTGGTAAGCAAAGAGAAAATAAAAAGAGAATTGTGAACAGGATGATAAGTCTGAAAAAATTACAGAAATGTTAAGGTAGACATTAGATAAAATGAAAAGGTCTAAAACTTTAACTAAAAAGAGTTTCAGATGGTTATAATAAAGGCAACCAAAAATAAAAGAGGCAATATTTGAAAGCATAATGGCTTTGATTTTTTTCCCCAAGAATTCATACAAGACAGCAAACTTCAGAATAAAAAATACGATGAGAATCAAGGAACATAAATTTGAACAAATCCACATCTAGACATATTGTAATGAAATTCATAATACTTAAAAAATATTAAATACACACAAAAGGTTTATAGCAATTAAGGAGAAAGGAAGATTTACTTACAAAATAATGAATAGAAAGGCAACTTATGTCTCAAAATGAACAATGGAATCCTGAAGAGAAAGAGAGAAAGAAAAAATAAAGAAGGCAATAATGGAGAAAAGAGGGAAGAAGGAAAAGAAGGAAGGAGAAAAAAAGAGAAAAGAAAGAATAAAATAAAATTAACATCCTGAGGGAAATTATCTGTTAACCTATAATTCTATACCCATGTAATATTGAGGACTCCAATGACAGTTTTAGACAAAGACAAATTTCCTGCTCTCAGAATTTTCTTACAATACTAAATGTGTGTGGTATGTTTGTTTATCATTATCAACTTTTCCATCCCTCCTTGTTATAAAATTATATTGTAATTTCTTCCACTGTGGGTGACACATGTGTCTCTGCCCAGGGATTTTGGGCTTGGCCGTGTGACTTGCTTTGGCCGATGATAAGTGACAATGCAAACAGAGACTTTGCATGTTCTTAAATGTTCTTGTATAGTCGGCTTGCCTCTTGTGCTCCTGTGATCACCATAAGAAACATAAGCCTCTTTATATCTGCTGTCTCTTTAACCTGGGCCCAGGAATGATACTCATGGAACAGACTAGAACCTGACTGGAAGCAAATCCATCCCAGTTCACATCTTGAAGCAGAGATGTTCCAATTTCCCTACAGATTCATGAGTTAGGAAAGTAAATATTTGTTGTTGTAAGTCATCAAGGTTTTTGGTTATGCAACATTATTGCAGCAATTGCTGCCCAATACAGTGTGCCTCAGGAAGATGGAAAGAGAAGTTGAACAGAAAAAAGGAGTGGGATGAAGGAATGATGGTGAGCAAATATTTAGTGAACATGTGAGTAAATTTAAACAAGCACAAACTTTCTAAGACAATCACGATAATGACTAATTTGTGTCATAAGGGAACAGGGTAGAACTGAAACTCTATTTAAGCCAAGCCTCAAAGGCTGATTTGAAAATTAATAGAAATAAAGTCTTAGATATTACCAAGTTTAGCCTCAAATTGCTTTACTCCCAAACCAGCAAGTAAGCAAAGCGATGAGATGTACACATGAGAAGAAACCTGGATAGAAGTATGCATGGGCTCATCTTTCCAGTGCTTTTCCTTTATTGCCCTCAACGTCGTAGACACAGCCTGGTATTTATGCTGCTGTGTGTGTATGTGTGTATGTGTATATGTGTGTGTGTTTAATATTTTTCAAGTATTATGAAATCTTGGTGACCTAGGATTCACCAAATAAGAAACATCCAGAACCATGTGCTTGCAGGCTTTTATTTGAGGTAGTGAGATGGACACAATAGAACTGAAGGATTCATATTATTAGAAGACATTCTTGCTGTGTCACGCTTACAACGGACGCTTTTCGTGTTATGTTTTCTGCTGAATCATTTGGTCTAGTTGAAGTTTGAGTAAGCAGGTCTAATCAGAGCCTATTTCCAAATCTTTCTGAACATTCTTGCGACATGAGAATTAAAGCAATTGATAATTAGTGAAAAATACATATACTTAAATTTGCTCCTCTGTTTTAATTTATGTTTAAAATCACTTGGATTTATTGCTTCTTGTTTTCAATTTTGTCGTTATTCTTGTTTTGTCCTGATAATATTTTCTTACCATTCTGTGTTAATTTAGATGTCTTTCTAGTCTACTGACGATTCTCTTCCTATCTCCAAAGTTATAATTAACCTACATCTCTGCACCAACATTAAATTATGACTATGTGCCACCCTCACTTTAAAACAAGGCATTGTACTTCCAGACCCATTTCCTACAAGGTGAGGACTTACAAAACTTTACTTCCTCCCACCCCAAACTCTGAGTTTAGTTGACATAGTTTAGAATTATTTGGCCCTAGGTATAAAATATCCCATTTCTGTTTCAAGAAAACTTATGAACACCTACCAAAAATTCCTACCTTTTCATCATACATTTATATTTGACAACGTGTAAAATAGCCAAATTATATTTGACTATATTTATTATATGTTGACTACATATTAGAATACATTTTACTTGGAGTATGGATTTGTGTATCTTTCTTAGAGTACATGGCAGTACAGTAATGTGCTGCATAATGATGTTTCAGTCAACGACAGACTGTATACACGAAAGTGGTCCCGTAAGATTAGTACCATAGAGCCTACGTGTCTAGTAGGCTATGCCGTCTAGGTTTCGGTAGGTACACTCTATGATGTTTGCACAATGACAAAACCATCTAATGACGCATTTCTCAGAACTTATCCCCATCATTAAGCAATTCATGATTGTATGTTCTTTTCTTCGATTTTTCTCATCAAAGAAGAATGACACTTTACTTTGTACAGAATTTCTTTTAGATTATATTTCTTTTCTTGAAACAGTCTTTGGTCATTACTTTATCATTTTCGAGCTTGCAGAGCCATGGATAAGAAATTTAATGTTTTGAGTTCTTGTTTCTTTGTGTTCCTTCTACAGGTAAGTTTGTAAAATTTTCACTTTATTCTTGAGGTTCAAAAGTATCTCTAGGTTATAGACCCATAAATTTTACTACAATATAGACTCAGTAAACCCTTTCAACACAGAAGTTAGAATCTCAAATTGTTTTTCAGGTAAAGAAAATATTAAAATTTTAATAATTACTTTTCCTCCATCTTTCCCTTCTTTCTCAATTTGGGACTTTTGTTATTTAAATGACAAGTTTCCTTGACTTGTCCTACAAGTCTTCATTTGTTATTTCATTTATTATTTCCTTTTTTAAATATTCTACTATGAATTTTTTTTTCATTTGATATTCTAGGATTTTCATTTGTTCTCACTGGTGGTTCTCTTCTCACTCTCTGTCTGGCTCTCTCTTTCTCTTTCCTTGTTTATTAAATGTTTACATTTGAAAATCATTTTGTTTCGGACCTACAAATTGACTTTTGTACTCTAATTGCATCACTTTGATGTTTCAATTCTTTTTTGTTGCAGTTTTTCTTTTGCTCTTTTACTGCGTTGGTTCCATAGGTTCCACCTGTACTAATTGTTCCTCTTGATCTTTGTCCCTTTACATGACTCAAGCTCCTTAGAAGGACTATATATAAGAAAAATCTACTCTTGGGTATGTATTTCTTCAGCATGTACACAAATCAGACTTTTTCTTGTAGTGTCTTGTGGTTAAAATGGAGGATATTGTTGTGGTTTTATTAGTTTTTGCTTTAAATTTATTTATTTATTTATTTGTTAGCTTATTTATTCATTCATTCATTTAGTGGACCTATGTACCTTTTGCTA